TAATAAAATGAACTAAAATAAAATAAAAGAATAAAATAAAATAAACATCTGTAAGAGTACAACTTTTTTTTTTTTTTTTTTTTTTTTTTTCTCTCTTTTTTTTTTTTTAGGTACGCCTCTTGACGGGAATAGGAAGATATAGCGAGATGTCTTATGTAATAGATGCCCTGAGGGAACATGACCAGTTTGAGCCACTGCTGGGTCGCGGATCAGACCCTAGGGGCTGCAAGAAAGGCTTAGACCGGGCATTGGTGCACTATCTGCGTTCTAAATACCCAGAAGACACGGAAACCTTGAGACTGGTGGCTCTTCATTTCCTACTTTATTCTGAGGTAAAGCATGTTTCAGAGATTGTGTTTGGGAGTCTCAGGTGTGTTGTATTTCTCAATGTATCACATTTATTCTCTTCTTGAAAGACGGTTGTATTTTTTTTTTTTTTTGGGGGGGGGAGTTTTTATTTTCTCCATCTTTTTTCACTTTCCCTCATCATCACCAGGTTGCTGAAATGTGGGCTACTGATGCAGAAAAGGCTGTAGAGAAAGTATTAGAAGCAACTGTTGACTTGGGAGTGTCATGTAGTACTGGTATGACCAGGTAACTAATGAAGTGTTGTATTAATGTTTAATATAATGGATAAGAAAACCAAATAATATATATATGCATGAACTTTTGTTAGCATAATTCATGTCTGTAAATTATAATGTAGTATGACTTTATCATGTTCTTGTTACTGTTGTTATTGTTATTGTTAGTAGTAAAAGTAAATATTTTTCCCTTTTTTTTCTTTTGTTGAGCGGAGATTTAATTTGTTTTCTTGTAAAATTCCAGTCCACCAGTAAGGTCAACCCCTAATAAGAATTCTACTCGTGAGATGTCCACAAAGAATACACCAAGAAAATCAACACCAATGAAAGGTACTTGTTAGAGAATCTTTAACTTGTAATGGGTTTTCATTTTGATAGGTATTCAATTCCTATATTTATTCAGTTCATTGTGGTGGAACATTCTTTTTTTGTCTATACACCACGAAGAAACAAGATCTTTATGGCAGTGTTTTAACACTTGACCTTAAATGGTACTGTGATAGCCAAGGTTTAAATATACCCCACTTTTAGTGCATGACATCACCATATCTTTACATGCTGGGTCCATTATGGAGGTTGGAGACAGTGGGGTTAGTATATATCCTTATAATCCATAATTATGTGCTAATGAACTGTAAGAGTCTTATGCTTACAGTTCATAAAATGAATCAATGTGGTAGGTTTACATAAAAAAAAATTAGTGAATAAAGAAAATTACCCATCCTTTGAGATCACAGCCATAAACAAGGTCCCCCTTAATTCATTTTCTATGATATTGGAGCCATCATATGTAAGCCCTGCACATAGACTTAAATTTTGGACTATGGTAATATTCTGAACATTCCTGATTAATTGATCATGTAGTGTGCATATATATGTAATATATGTTGTATTATTATATTGATATTCACTCAAAGGCATTTTCCATCAGGATTATCTTCTCCCACTGGTGCTGGTCGCAGTTTTCCTGCTAATGACCAGTTTGACCCAGATTACCTTCACAATGCAGATTCCAAACTATTAGTACAAGCCATGCATAGCTATGCTCATGCTGCCCAATACTATATGCAGGTATGTGCAATATCAGTGCCATCTAGTCTGCTTCTACTTATCTTTTTGACAAAACAGAACTACTGTATGCAATATTTGTTTGCCCCTCCCTCTCTTTGGTCTCTCCTCTCCTCTTTTGTTTCTTTCCCCCATCTCCCCTCTCTTCTCTCACTCTTATACTCTCATTCTCTCAGATATAATTTCACTCTTGGATGGACAAGATTGACCATGCCTAACAAAACTAATTATAATTATCAGGTGGTAAAACAGATATGTGTAATTTGATTTAAATATGTGGTTTTATTACCAGAATATTTATGTTTTAACTGTAGATTGGCAATCATTACTAAGCAAATTGAAAGTTTAGTTATATTTTTTTGAATCTGTGATTTCACATTGTAATATAGGAATGTAGCTAAAGAATCTACAAACCTTTGTTGTTGGGGTGTGAACTCTTGATAAACAATGTAATCAGGAAATTAACATTTTGTGTCAAATGGACACTTGGTCAAATACTATTTCTATCTTCTACTTCAGATTGATATAAACTTTTTAGTTATTTGCAGAGATCATAATATTCAAGACATATTTCTGTCTCAGTCTTAGTAACTTCTGACATTTATTACTTTTCTATTCCTGAAGGATCAACAGCTGGCTACAGCAGTAGAGTACAGTCGGCAAGCAGAACTAGTAGCACTGCAAACAGCCCATGTACGTAATGCTACTTCAGGTTCTGCTCTGAGGTTGCTGAAACTTTCACCGGGAGGAGTTAGATGTGTTACCACTAGGCTCTTAAGGTGAATGTGCAAGCTTTATATTTGGTACTTTATATTTGATAGAGTTGATAGCCTGGTGAAGAAATAAAACCAGAAACCTCATATGACATATAACTCATACAGATAAAAGCTATAGACAAACTTCAAGATGCCCAATAAGTAGTGTATCTAACACACAGTAATGTATATATATCATGTCCCATTCAGTTTTGAAATAAATCTCATAACCTATGTTCTAAGCTTAAAGGATATCACAGTACCTAAAATTATTCACTATAGATGAAAATATTGTAACCAGTATATTGAAACCATACATATAGGGATATCACAGACTTTCGAAATGTAACTATATTATAATCAAGTAAACCTACTTTCAGAGTATGTGAAGCCCAGTTAGTGGGAAGAGCATACAATTTGAGTGTGGATTGGGGAGCAGCTCTCTACCAACAGTTCATAAACAAGGGTGATGAGAACTACCTTACAGAATACCTAGCACACTGCACTCTATCTCCAGAAATTGTGTTAGATGTTATTAAAAAGTAGGTTTCATTATGCTTCAATGATTTTCAAATGTTATTTCAGGTTGAAATGCATGCAAGATTAGCAGATGAGATCACAATACCTCTGATACATTACAATTTAATAATTTATTACTTAGGAAATACAGATTTAAATACAAGTCACATTAAGAATATAATTTTTAACTATGTAAGTAAATCATGAAACAGTTTTCTGATGGCATAAACTACATACAACCAACACCCTCATTCTCCTTTAGGTTAGAACACGATGGAGTCACAAAGGAACGGCAGGAACGAGTGGCACTGCTGCTCAAGCATGTTCAAGAGGCAGATGTTGTTTACAGAGTGGCAAGTCAGCTGGGTCTTCGAGGAACGGTTGATGCATGCCTTGCCTCGTCATCTGCTCCTTACCTCAGAGACACAGTCTTTACAAAAGGATTTACGTATGGAAGTTAAAGATGGCAAAACAAAATACAACGCATTCTGATTCTTCCCTTGTAATTGAAGTGCTCAATTATCATACTTATACTTATTCGGGTCAGTGTACAATATGAGGTTCAAATTATACTCCGAGAAAATATTTTTCTCCTTTTTTTTTCTAAATTTTCATACATGATTACAATACAAATATTAAAGGTAGTTAACTCAACCTGTTTACAAATATATATCTGATTTTGTTCAATATACTTTTATATATACTTAATAACTTACACTATAAATTTTATGACTGCTACCTCTAAAAAATATATATCCAAAGTTAAATACATAGAACAAGGCACTAGTCAAATGATCATAAAAGTATATATTTACTATATCAATTATACTTTTTTTTTTTTTGCTTCTGTAATTAGAGAAGTGTAAATCACTCTAAAAATGATATGTCAAGAAATGCCATTCTGATATATAATAAGAATGTTATATGGATAAATTACTTTCATAGAATAATTAAACTGTTGATAACTAAACATGAATAATTGTTATTTTTTTCAAATCTATACATGGCAGTAAACTTAAGATACAAAAATAATAAAATTATATTTTTTCAGGATGATATCTGATAAACAATGTTATGTAATGTTTTATCACTAAAAATAAACATATTTGGTATTTTGTTTATTAGTATCAGCCTACATACTTATACAACAACTCTGATATGTTTGTGCTACTTTGAGACAATCAAGTGAATGGAAAGGCTGGAAATATTGATAAAAGTGATAAATAATTTTATCAAAATCAGTCAGTCTCCATTCATATGAGTAATTAAATTAACAAAAATAATCATCACTTCATAGAAACTAGTATGACTGTCATGGTATTTGACTTCAAATGATAAAAGCATTTCTTCCATACTAAAGTGTTCATTTATAAAAAGAAATAGACTATAAAACAACAAGACAAGCTAGTGATACCAAAATACATTAGAATTCATAAAGATAACTAATTACACAAGACATGACATTACATTCCCTTTAAAAGTTGAGTTGCTTCGTCCACTGCCTCTTTATCATCGAGAGTCTTCGCTGAATAATTCATGGCGCGAGTCAGGTACTGCTTTGCCTCTTCTTTTTTCCCTAGTATCTGGTAGCATTTCCCAATCATCAACAAGTTTTTACTGTGAAACCATTAAAAAAAAAGGATCATTAAGGTTAATATATTTAACGAGTTCCCAAGACTCTGACATCATTAACTGATTAATAAGCCAAAGATAATAACCAGTATTCATATATCAATAACTTGGGAACATAATCCATGTGCAACAAACAAAAACGAGATCTGTTGCTAGTCACCTATAAAAGTTGGGTTCCAGTTTCTCTGCATGTAAGAACTCTTCCAGCGCATCTTCATATGTTCCCGAGGGAGGTGTAGCAAATACAACAGAAGCAATCTTCCTCTGGTACCATGGGATGCTGGCTATACTGTAGTACCTGTAATAAGTATGTTAGAAAATTGTTATAGAAAGTTGTTATAAAAGAATATAAAATGAAAATATATATATTATTGATTTTGTATATAAAAAATGTGCCACAGCAGCCTAGACTAAAAAATGTTCAAAAGTCAGACAAAGGTATTACTAAAAATAATTTGATCTTTTCAGAAATACTTCTAATAATAATGCAGCCACAAATCAAAGCAACAAGGCTATCAGCATCTTACAATTAGTAGTTTATACAAGATGATCTAATATATTTATGCCACTCATTATTTCTCATCTCATGGAAATTACATTCAGCCATGAATTTTCATCAAAATGATAAAAAGTTTCAAAAGAGGAAAGTAACAGCTGTATGTTGAAGTACTTCCATAGAAAATCACAAATTACAAAACAATGAACTGGACAATCTCACCCTTTTCATCAACTATGACTCTTTAATTGGTGATGCTAGTCATTTATAAATATATTTCTCTTATTCTTTTCTCTTCAACTTTCCTAAACTATACTAAAGTAAACTATCACAATACCAGTTACTTATATGCAACTTACCAATATCCTAGGAGATATCTAGAGGTTCCATCGGTAGGGTTCAATTGACAGGCTTTCTGAAAACCAGTCAATACTGTATCATTATAATGACCACCATACTAATACTTTCCAAAACCATGACAGATATAATCATTAAAAAGGAACTGTCATCAATATACCTCCATGTGATGTTTAACATTGTATGACTGTGATATCCTAGCTTTCGTTCCTTCATATCCATACACATAGTCAATAAGAATGGACATCCACTTGTGGACAGCGAAGTTTTCACTGTTGATAGCCAAAGCTTCTTCTACATAATCCAAGGCTTCTCTGTATAGCACCTTCTTTTCATCATCTGTTTTAGCTGCCTTTGCTTTTTCATATGTGGCCCTTCCCAGTCTCCAAAGAATTTCATCATGTTTCACTTCCTGTAAGAGAAGACTATTAGCAAAAGTGCAGTGTAGTTTCAGCAGTTATATTTCCAATATGAAACAGATGTCAGAATTAGAAATGTTCAGAAAATATGGGTCTTCCTGTTTTCTCTAATCTATGACTAGCTACCATTTTTTAACTCTGCAAATCTCTTTCTTGCTCTTACTTTTACTCTTAATCTTACTTTACTCTTACACATATAAACACATGTGCATGCATGCACGCACACATACATATGCACACAAACATCCATGCATGCATGCACTCAGATGCACTCACTCACACACTCTCACGCACACACACACACACACACACACACACACACACACACACACACACACACACACACACACACACACACACACACACACACACACACACACACACACACGCACACACACACACACACACACACACACACACACACACACACACACACACACACCACACACACACACACACACACACACACACATGCACACACACACACACACACACATGCGCACACACACACATGCGCACACACACACACACACACACGCACACACACACACACACACACACACACACACACACACGCACACACACACACACACGTGCACACACACACATACACAACGCACATACACTGCACACACACACACACACAACGCACATACACTGCACACACACCGCATATACACACACACACACCGCACATACACACTGCACACACACCGCACACACACTGCATTTCACATGCACACCACACTGCACACACACACTACATATTGCACACACACACACACCGCACACATATACTGAACATACGCATCACACAAACTCAAAAAAGAGAACCATACCTTGTGAGCACTGAGAAGAGCATAAATGTCCTCATACTTCATTGCTTCATACAACTCATCTGCCTCAGCCAAGAGAGTCTCCAGAGTGTTCTCATTTGCTAAAACACTTCCAACATAGAAACCACTTCCAAGGACTCCAAACATGACAGCACTTGGGATGCTTGTTTTCGCTACCTGAAATGATTATAACATTAGTAAGTAAAATGTACATGACAAATTCAGTGTATGTCAGTTCACCAGTAATTATACATCAATCAAAATGTATAATAATAAAATGGTCTACATTTTGTATTCACATTAATATATAATGGTGAGCTAATGCATAATTCACACAGTACCCAGTAAAGCCACACATTACAGATTAACTAAGTAACTATTTCAATGTCTGTTAGCAGCAATTTCCTGAAAAATACAGAATAGTACACTCCTTTAATATATCAATTATTTTATGTTATCCATTGCTCACTACAAATCTCAATTTAATTTGAAATATTTTCTAATAGAAGGAATATAATATAGAAATGATCACAAACTTCAAAGAATCTCTGCAGTTTTACCAACTCCTAAAGGACATCCATGCTTGCTCAGGTGTTGACACAGGGTGACCTGCATCAATATTCCACAGGATGCTGGGAACTTTTTTTTAATGTACAATGTAGATTTTGATCAGATTTTGGTTAATTACATGTCAAATCAATTTCCTCTTTGTAAATTTACAAACACAGACATCTGATATCTCATGAATTTTAAAAGGATATTAGTAGTTTCTTGTGCTTAAGTAGCAGTAGCAGCAGCCTACGACCATACTGGAATCAGGGTGTTTCCACCATGTACATACAGGCATTGATTTTTTTCCATACATAGGCATACACAAAGCCTGAAACTTCCCATATTACCACATACAGGCCAACAGCATATACAGTTTACAATGAGCCTGTGTACTGTACACTGACAACACTATGCGTGGCTCTCTGGCAAAGGCCATTAACTTCTCTTCTTAGATTCCAAGGTCTTACATTTACATAATCTTACGAAATGAAATGTAGAGCTTTAAACATGGCTTGTTTTTCCGCTCTATAACATGGCGGTGTCCATTTCTCTCTATCTATGCGCGTCCGTCTCCGTAACCTCTACCGGACTACCTACGGGCTGTTTTTTCCATAACTCTATAATATATGGCGTATGCTCGTGTCTCCGTCTGGACCCTACTGGCATGAGAAAAATATGGCAAACGGTTGTGCCTCGACTCCAGTATGGACCTTTCATGTCACCTTACTACATACCGTGACCAACTATCAGATCTAATACCATCGCTGCTATAAGCCTCTCTTTAATAAAAACTAGAACAAAGGGAGGGCCTAAGTAATCAACCATTACCATAATCGGTTCAGTTAACTACGAGCATCTGCTAATGCATACAAGTTCTCACCTTCGCTACATTCCCTGTTACCAGTCGAGAAAAGGATGCACTAGTAACTCTTGTCCTTGCCGTTTTCCTGATTACAGGAAATAAACATTTCCTAATTCCAAATCTTAGAAACATTTTCAAGGGCTAAGACTTCCCTCTGCTTTCTACCCGGTTAAATCAAGTGTCGTTATCTATGAGTTGCTTTTTTATTACGTCTCTTGATAACAAGGAACCTAAACTCAGAATTCCACGGCCAATGTTTGGATCGCTTACACACCGAGACGTTTCGAGTTGCCGAATGTAAATAAAGTAAACTCGATCATTCGTTCCCTTTCCTTCTAATTCGTTGGAAGAAAAACCCACAATGCACAAACTAGATTTATTGATGGAAGTGAGACAACAGTTTCGGAATCGTCCTCGATTCCATCTTCGGGTCGATTCCCGAAGATGGAATCGAGGACGATTCCGAAACTGTTGTCTCACTTTCATCAATAAATCTAGTTTGTGTATTGTGGGTTTTTCTTCCATATTATCAACACGGTATTGTGTTTTTCTTTGCTTCTAATTCGTTGTGGATAAATGACGTAAATACTGTGTAAATTAGTTGAAAGATAGTGTTTTAACCCCATATATCGAAAACCTGATTTGATGAGTTCCTCGTGGTTGTGGTTACGATCATTATCCTTATTATCATCATCGTCATTATCATTACTAATATTATCATTAGTAGTAGTAGTAGTAGTAGTCGTAGTAGTAGTAGTAGTAGTAGTTGTTGTTGTCGTTGTTGTTGTTGTTGTAATAGTATCACCATCATTTCTTTATTATCATCATTATTCCCATTATCATTATCATTTTTCTTATCATCATTATCATTGCTATCATTATCATCACTACGAATACTAGTTTTATAACCATTACTTTTAATATAACTATAATCATTGCTATTAGCATCATTCTCCTCCTCTCTTTATCATTACACTTTTTATTGTCACTATCAATCAGTATTATTACGATTAGATATCATTAGCGCTAATATCATTACGATTATCATTAGCGTTATTATCACTACGATTATTATCATTATTACCATTATCAATATTTTTCAATTATGATCAGTGAGTGTTATCATTATCATAAATATTTTCGTAAATATCATTACCATTAACTAGTCTTGTGACGCCATAGTGTTACCTCTAGTTTTTTTCTTCGTGTTCCTTTCTTCAAACAACAACGCCTGCACTTTCATGCTATCTCCCAATTTATTTTGTGATATTGTTTGTGTCTCCCTTTGTTGTTGTTTTTCCTCTATTTCCCGCTTTCAGTATCTCCTTCTTGCGTAATAGTACTAATGTTTTTGTCATGTTTTTTTTCATTTCGTGATACGGACCTCAATTAAACTATTTTGTTTACTTACACAATTTATCAACGTCTGGACGAGTGTAGTGAGCTCCATGAATTGTAAGTAGTCCCAGACTTTCTCCCCAATGCTTTCGACTCGACTACTGCATGATGTATTAGTAGTAGTAGCGATATGGTCCAGGCATTCCGCTTTGAACCAGACCTTCTTCACTTCTGAATACTTCATATAATTTGCCTTCCATATGTCTTTCTTATCCATGTTCTATTATTATCATTATCATTGTTAACATTGTTGCTTTGTTATCATCAATTATCATTTCAATCAGTTACCATTATCATCATGTGTTCTCAGTGACAGGATCATTATTACCATTATTATCATATTTATCATTTTTATTATTGTTTTGTTTTGTTAATATCATCATATTTTTATTGTTCGTATTAATGTCGTAGTAGTAATATTGATAATAAATAATAATGATGATGGTGGTGATGATGATGATGATGATGATGATGATGATGGTCATCATCATCATCAATCATCGTCATCATCATCATTATTGTTATCATAATTATTGTTACCATCGTCGTTATCATGATCATTAATGTTGTTACCATCATTACCATTATTATTACTTATAAATATTATCTATGCTAAGCTGTAGATATCACACAGGAATATGTAATAAATGTGATGTATTAAATCCTTAAATGTCAAATTGCATATGAGGTTTAAGTAACCATTGCAACTTGGTATATGGAAAAAAAATGGAAAATTGCATCTAAGAGAACCATAACGAACTATATGGAATTATGTAACCGGTGAATCTCCAGTAAATTATTAGACAACATGCGTGAACTGGTCAAGGTTGTTGCCAACAGTATGTAGCAGTGGCGGCTGTTACTTAACCAACCAGTTTCTGGCTTCGTGCACGCTCAGAGTTAAATGCTGAGGAATTAGTGGTGGAAAAGTGTTACTAAGAAATAAATCTACATAGAAAAAGGCAAAACTAACATCGATGTTTAAATCATTCAAGGAATTATAATACTATTTTGAAAGATTCAAAACGAAGCTGACCGACGACAGATGTCAAATGCATTTGTGTAGGAGGGACTGGGCCAGTGGTTCCCAACCCCACGGTCGCGACTCAAATGAGGGTCACCAGGGTTTTTCTCAGGCTCGCTGGAGGGTCTTAAAAGAAGAATAAAAAAATCATAGCTGGATATGTCAGTAAAAGTTGTTTTTGTTAACACTTGTTTATTGAAATTCAGTGTGTTGGTAATATAAACCTATTAAAGTATATAGTAACGTATGCTAATATACAGCTGGAAGTATAACTAACTACGGATATACTACTACATGTTCACATATTTAGGGTCGTTAGCCCAGGCTAAGACTGTCTTTAGGATCGCACCCGAAAAAGTTTGGGAAACACTGGAGTAGACTTTTACCAGATGAAAGTTGCATGCTCTCTCTATGCATTGCATTTCTTTATGTCTTTTTATTTTTTTCTTTCTTCTTATCTCAGACCGAATCTTCCGACACTCTATGGCGGAAGTTAATGCCACTGTAGTGATATAATCATCATATTTACATGGCCCGAAAACACACACCACTGCTCGTGGTCTGCATTATTCATAATGTTAGGGTACTCTGCAAGTTCTATGACGAAGCAAATCTCAGATAATGTATACAGATAATCAAAACACATAATGCTATCCCGGTTTGGTTACGGAAAATTAATATCACCATCACGGACTTGGGTGTGACACATGTTGCTAAGAGGCCGTCAGACGCTCTAGTTGCTCGGTCGCGTGCACGCATGAACGGACACACGCTTCACGGCATTAACTTTAGTCCGTCCGTGTCTTAATCTCCCGAGATGCATTATCACAACAGCTAAGTTGGCCTTGCACTTGCTCCCTGGTTAAAGTTCGTTTTGATTGCTCTCTCCTTTCACTGTAGCACAGAACATGGCTTCTTTGTCGCCGAAGGATGTACCCAAAACACGGTCTCAGTTGTCAACAGGTTTGAAGAGGAGGATGCCGAAGCTCCTCGGTCTTAGAGCAGACGGAATCGTTCAGGACGCACCTCATGAACGGCAAGCAAGGGTAACTGACTGTGTACCTTCCGTGCTTCTCGGGTTCCTTGGCCGTCTGCTTGGCAGGTTCCTGTGAGGGAGGTGTCAATGTCAAAGAGAATGAAACATTAAGAAGCCTCCATGGAGATCTTGGGAAAAAGGTTCAAAGTGCGACTTTCTATTAATAATTTTCCGTAGTCAAGGTTCTTGTCGTAAGACAATCGCAGTAATATTTGATGATAACATATTGGTTAGACCGCACAGTTCAGAGAGTACTTACCACTCGCTTCATAGTTGAAATGTTTTTGCAAACGATAAGGCTAGGAACCATGTAACAAAAATATGTAATTGGTATATATCTGCATGTATTGTAAAAGTTATTCACAACAACCAATGCATGAGAGAGAAAGATGAATCAAATAGAAATATAAACAGAGAAAGGAGAGACGGACAATAGAAAAACAGTCAGACAAAGAGATTACATACTCCGTTGTAAGGTGTTTTGTGAAGGTTATAAATAGTAATAACACTGCTTGATTCTCAGAAAACCTAAGAAGCGTAAGTGCATAAGTTTTCTAGGAGTATTGGCATTCCCACAAACTACCCGACGCATTTGTAATCGAATTCAGACTAGCAATAAATCCCAAATCTTCCGTGACCGGTTTCCAATCAGAATTCTTTACCTACACAAATGTCGATATTACAGAGCCCAGGTGGACAATGGGGAAAATGTCGACCATACTGATTAGGTAGTAATCATTTATCTGAGGGATAAAAATAAGCTTCAATAATCGAATGATCTTATCCTTGACGGTGTTATCAATCGGACGGGGAAGCTCGTTTGCGGCCGGGCACGACCCTGAGCCCTTTCTTTGCAATGGCTCCGTAAAACATTCCCATCGGGAGGGCTTAGCGGGAGTGTGGTTGAGGCAGAATCCGTATGGTGTGGTAACTGTTTGTATCTTCGTGGCTGAAATGGTTGTAGAAAGTTAACCGGATTGTGATAATCGAAATCTGCCCTATATAGTGTGAAGGAGGTGCATTCAAGTAAAGGTAATCGGATGTTATTTACGTGCGTGAGCGTATCCAAGGTCTATATGTACTTATCTAGACCTTGAGCGTATCTGAGCGTGTGCATATACTTGTACGTGTGCGTGCCCGCCCGCATATAATTGCATTTGTGTGTGTGCGCATGAATGCAAATGTATTTCCCAGTAAGATTTGATATTATAAGCGCCAAAAGTTCATCACCAACAATGAAATACCAGCGAGTGCGAGCGGATGCACTGAACACTGTCTTCAGAGCAAGCGCTTTTAAGCCCCCTAAGGTCAAGACATTCGGCAGGAGAATTCTTGGCTTGGCGAGCGCTACCAAGCCCAGCCTCGCAGATGCACTGGGTACATCAAATGAGAAATTCTGGTTCCATGACTCAAAGGTTATTTTGGCCTTGAATTCTTCCCCAAAGAAGTACTACAAAGGATAAGAATTAGAGCAAAGGTATTCATTATAACGCAAATTTTAATATCTCTTAAGATGATGGTTATATATATATATATATATAGAAGACGGATTTATGATGCACATATGTTTAATTAAATCTGTAATGAACACATGCTTAATTCAGTGGAGAAACCTTCAAACCTATGACGCAAAAGTCACTCTTAAATACGGCCTTTTATCGCACGTCGGAAAGCATTCATCACACACGTTTGATTTCTATTTTAAGAGCTTGTTTACACCAGTGACCACTAATGTCTGAACAAACATCCTGGTGAACGAGGCGAACAAAGTGAATATCATGTAGACCTTACGAAGAAATGCATGAGCAAT